CTCTTGGGTCTGAGGGAGGAAGGGGCTGGGGGCCTGGACTCCTGGGTCTGAGGGAGGAGGGGGCTGGGGGCCTGGACTCCTGGGTCTGAGGGAGGAGGTGGCTGGGAGTTTGGACTCCTGGGTCTGAGAGAGGAGGGGCTGGGGGGCTGGACTCCTGGGTGTGAGGGAGGAGGGGGCTGGGGGCATGGGGGCCTGGGCTCCTGGGTCTGAGCAAGTTGGGGGTCGGGTCCCTCATGTCCCAGACATCCAGGCCACGTCAGTGAGAGCCAGGATTTCTCTAATCTCTACCCCCGTGAAACACATTCCCTCTCTACACCCCGGGGCCCTTCTCCAGACGGAGCTAGAGGGGGGAAGTGAAACTTCTAGGTTGCTGTCCTCCCTGCAAAGTAGGAGGGCTGGCGGCTGCTGGGCAGAGATGTCCTGTCCCCTAGTTTCCTGGGTGGAGAAGCCACCCCACCCCCTCCCTGCCAGTGCCCTTTGAGGCCAAAGCAGACAGTGCCTGGGATGGGCCTGCCTCCCAAGACTAGCTGCACAGTGTCCCCCAGTCCCCGCTCTCTAAGCCCTGGTCTCCTATCCTCTACCCAAAGCCCAAGTCTCTTCCCTGCCTCCGTGAAGAACCTGGGGTCCATCCCCCCGGGGAACCAGAGCCAGGCAGCCCTTGCTGCCAATCCCACTGTGCGCCTGCCTTGCTGGATGACCTGGGACAAATCACTTCACTTCTCTGAGCCTCAGATCCCTGTGTTGCCCACGCCCTCTGCCTTCCAGGCAGAGTGAAGAAGGGCTCCTGGGGTCTCGGGAAGACCGAGACCTCCCAATCCCTCCCTTTCCCCTGCCCCCCCAGCCTCCGCTACCACAACCTCCACCCAGATTACATCCACGAGCGGCTGCAGAGCCTGGGGAAGAGCTTCGCCCTGCGGGTCCTGCTCATCCAGGTGGATGTGGTAAGCAGTGGTCACTTCCCCACTGGCCTTGTTAACCCCATCTGTGAAATGGGTCTGAGGGAGGAGGGGGCCTCACAGCATCCAAGTGGACTGTTGAATCACGAGGGAAGATGCCAAGTTGAAACCTCAGTGAGGAACCACTTCTCACATCCGAGATTGACACCCTATGTTGGCCCAGGGGGTAGGAGGGTAAAATCATCCGTGTCCTCTTTCCCCACGCCACTTCGTCCAAGCCCAGCTCTCTGCTGCCTAAACGTGTCTTGAATCTGTGTCATCCTCTCTGTCCACCCAGCCCGGCCCACCTGGGCCCTGACTCCAGCCTCTTCCCTTGTCTCCTGGCCTCTAGCCTCAACCCCTCCCCTCCTTACACCAACCTAAAGCACAGATCTGCTGTCCAGATCCCTCCATGACTCCCCAGTGCCTTCTGTGGCCCATGAGACCTTGTGCGACCACCCCCCTGCCCCACTCTCTGGGGTCATTTCTTTCTTTCTTTTTTTTTTTTTAATTTTTTATTGTTATGTTAATCACCATACATTACATCATTAGTTTTAGATGTAGTGTTCCATGATTCATTGTTTGTGCATAACACCCAGTGCTCCATGCAGAACGTGCCCTCTTTA